GGCGCTCACGGTCGACCTTCTCGGCTTGGTCTTCGGTAAGGTTGAAGCGCACATTGTTGCTAGGAGAGCTCTGGCGACGGCTTAGTCCAAACCCAGCAGCAACAGCACCGGCGCCAATGCCAGCCGCTACGCCTGCAATTGCGGCATCGCGTTTCATGGAACTCGGCGTTGGGGATGAGTTGCTGCGACGAGGGAGACGCGGAGGTCGATCTTCGAAGGTTGACGAGAAGCTTGGTTTTGGCGACTCAACGAATCCTTGCTGGTATTGTGTATTAGGGTATCGAGATTGTGAACCAGCAGATGCGAAGACCGCAGGGCCAGTAGGAGCATAATAGCTTTGCTGTACCGGTGCTTGAGAAGTGTAAATGTTATCTGGAACCTGAGGAGGGGTGGGTTGAGGATGTTGAAGGTTGATACTGCCGGGTTGAGCAGTGACCAAATGCTGTGTTTGGTTCGATGATGCAGATCCAGTTCGTCGGAGAGCATCAAAACTATTAGGATCGAAAGGAGACTGCCAGGGGTATACAGACTGGAGAGTTGGCACGCTGCTGACGCTGCTCATGGCGCTCTCATTGCGCCCAAGAGCCGCGCCCCCTACGGCGCCAGCAATACCTGTAGTTGCAGCAGGGCCGATGAAGGATCCCGATGCAGCCGCTTCATTCAAGCTTGTGATTGACGGCTTCTTAGGTTTCTTCCTTCCCCAACGCCAGCCCCACTTGCTAGTCCCCGAATCGTTTGAGACCAAAGATTCAGTACTCTTGCCTGTCCAATTGAAATCGCCAAATGCTAGACCGGAGCTTGCACCCGACGAGACAGAGAGGTCATCGTCTTCGGCAGACTCCCAGCCCTCTTCCTCGTCGCTAGAAGAGTGAGATGAGTGGCCTGCTCGATAGACGCGTTCTTTACCTTTGCCTTTGCCGTCTGAGTGGCGTACGGCAACGACTTCAGGCCCATGTCTACCATTCTTCGAACGACCATGCTGGGCGGCAGTGATGGCGGCTGCAGTAGCGCCAAGCCCAAGCAAGGTAGCATTCAGCTTTTCGTCAGAGTTGCGCCGCCTTGTGGAAGAGCTCTTTCGCCTCCGATCAACACCAAATCCAAAGGCGAGATTTGAGTCAGATGACGAAGAAGACGAGTTTCCGAAGTTGAAAAAGCCCTTGCGTTTTTTGCTGTGAACTTTCCTCTGCTTCTTCTCACGCTTCTCAGGGGCTGCAAAAAAGCCGCCGAGGAAGCCACTCGCTTGTGGACGAGACGTTTGCGAAATATCGACGAACGATCCAGAAGCAACAGAGCTCCGCGAGCTACGATGAGACTTCGTGTAGCGGTCGTTTTCGTTGCTGCGTCTTCGGCGACGAACAAATTGTCCGTCAGGAGAGTTCGAGCGACTGCGATGCTTCTTCCGGGCTTGACTGACAGCAGATGCACCAACAGCCGCACCAATCGCAGCGCCAAGCAGTCCAGTCCTGCGATCTCTCGAAGGCGACCGAGATTGAGATCGATGGCGGACAATCTTGTACTGCTTCCCTTCACGAGTCACTCCCATTTCGACGCGGTTCCTGGATCGACTGCGATTACGAATCACACCGGTGGAGAGACTACCCTTCCGGTCCCGAGAGCGGCTTCGGCTCCGTCCTAGGGATGTCCTTGAACTTCGCCCGTCACGGCCAGACTTTACACTATAGGTATCGTCGAAATCGTTGTTCCGATTGAATAGTGCTTTTCCGACCTTGGCAATACCATATGCTCCGAGGCCAGTAGCTACCAGCCCAGTCTTGCTCTTGCGCTTGCTTTCACTGTCGGAGGGGTAGTAACGGGAGTCCTTCTTAATACCACCAGATGGGCGAAGTTGTTCACCAGATCGTCGGCGCCGATTATAGTTGTGTTTTCGAGGGGCGTCTTGGACCGAGGAACGTGGGTCGAAGCACTCTCGGCAGACTCCTATGTACTCGGTATACTCCTCCATCTTCCGCACATCTTCATAGTCTTTCCACCAGTCCACAAACTTGCTGACGGGGCCCTTGTGCTGATGCCTCGTAGCCATGTCTCCAGACATATACGGGCCAGGTGACGGAGTCGGGCCTCCATAGGTTCCAGAAGTTCCAGGGAATGCGCCCGGGATGGAATTCGAGTGCTGATGTTGCGAGTGTTGGTGTAGGCCATATGCTCCTGCGGCCAACCCAGCAGCCCCCGCTGCATAGAGTGGCATGTTAGAATGGGAGTTGGAGGATTGCTTACCTGGTCGTGGCGGCTTGGGTGGAGGTCCGGAAGAGCCATAGCCGCTTAGGGTGGGTATGTTTCCTGTGGAATACGAATGGCCGTGGCTGCCATCGGTCGCAGCTGTAGAGAGTGCTCCAGCACTACCAACAACTCCATTCGTTCCTTGCTGGTAGAAAGTAGAAGAGCTTGACTGGTGCTGGTTGGTGTAGGATGAGGACTGGTGATTGCTTCCAGATCCATGACCGAGGGCGTATCCCAACGCCGCGCCACCGGCAAGTGCGCCAGCAGCTGATGCCTTGCCGGGCTTGCTCGGTTTGCTAGAGCTACTTGGCTTGGAACCCGATGGTCGTGGTGGCTTACCAGGAGCCATATCATCCTCGAAACTACCAGGCATAGTCGGCCTCGGAGGTTTGGTGGGTTTTGCGGACTGATTAGAGGACGATGTCTGGAAAGCCGCAGTACTGGAGCCGAAGAACTCGGCAGCGGATCCTAGCCCTGTCTCCTCTGGGGGGTTGTAGGTCGCAGAGGCGGTATTAAGGTGAGGTGTATCGGCGGGTATGATGACGGAGGGTTTATTCGGGCGGACGCCAGGCTGTTCCATGACGGACTGTCCTTGATCGCCATAGTAATCAGCCGCGGCACCAGCAGCGGGAGGAGGTCTATATGGTGCAGCAAAGTTTGATGGGTTTTGGCCTGGGAATTGGTCCGCAACATGGGAGGATATCTGCTGAGAAGGCGGAGTGGGGATTGCCCCGGACATCATTGGAGCTCCAATTTGGCCTGGGAATTGAGAGAAGCCCGCGCTGGCAACCTGAGTGCTGAACGAACCACCAGTGTGCGGATCCTCTCCAGCTCTTGAAGACACAATGCGGTCGTCGTCTCCAGCACGGCTACTTCCACGTTCCGACTTGCTCTTCTTGCTCGAGCTCGGCCGGACCCACCCCTCGGCCTTCTTATCCTTCTCTTTCCTGTCTTTCTTCTTGTCGGTGCGGTCGAGGCTCCGCGAGCGGTCTCGCCTGTCGCGCTTTCGGTCATGACTGGAGGAACGGTCACGGCGACTGGAGGACCGTCTGGCGTCGTCGTCGTAGGGGTCGTCGTACGCACGCGGGCGGTCAGACATGGTTTCGTAGGGGAGATAGTCGGAGGCGCGAGAGGGCTCCGGCGCAGTCGCGTAGGATGAAGCAGTCGATGCCGGAGCTGCAGGAGGGTATGAATTGCGTGAAGAGGGCGGCGCGCTCCTGAGGTCGCTGCGGGTTGGCCTCCGGGTGGAGGACGAGGAAACAATAGACTCGGCGCGTCGACGGCGCGCGCTTGGGCGGTCGTCTTTCGACTCTCTGGAGTCTCTAGTGGATGAGCTCTCGCTCTTGCCCGTTAGCTTGCTCCACATGGTGATGCTGTAGTCAAATGTGAAGAAGCGGGAATCGGGGCGCTCGTAACGATGGAGTAGAATTTATCGTCGATCGCAAAAGTCGGTGGCTGCAAGGGTACCGCGCGAGGCAGAGTCGTCACGTCGTCAGGCCGTCATATGGTACAGAATAATGCAGAGAATACCACGCTATGCTGAGGAATCGATGCCGCACGCGCGAGTGATGGAAAGCGCCGGGCGGCGAAGTGTGGTGATGGAGGCGGGCAGCGCTGCGGTGTTGATGGATGGCATCGCAGCCCACGACAGCTGGGAGGAGATCCGCCACCCAGCCACGTCCACCGAATCACATTGTGGGACCGCCGGGAAGGTCGTCCCATCCCAGCTGAGGCCTCACAGAATCGTTCGCATAGCCCTGCCGTGATTCATTGGGCTCAACTCAGCAACTATACACTTCACAGTCACGGCAGACGTCACGCAGTAAACAAACAACACCGGATGACTTCAAATTAGAGTTGATTGTTGTTGACTGATGAAAGACGGGTACCGCCACCGCCAGCCTTTGTGCGCCAGGGAGCTCGAGCCAATCAGCGCCGAGATGGGAGCCGAATCATGCGGTGGCTGAGGAAGCCATGTATTCACGCGGGGCATGGAAAAGGTGGCACAATAATTCTAGAACAAGCTGTCTCATGTGTACACCGGTCTGCCACTGCTTGGGGTGCTTCAGAGAATTTTCAGGAATTGGAACGAGATAAAAGCCCTTCACTTTGGTCTATGTGGAAACTTGTTGAAGCACTTCATGCAGTGGCAGACAGGTGTACACACCGGCAGAGTACTTGATGAGTGTGCCGCTTTTTTCGTGCCTAGCGGGGCCATATCTATTATCTGCACAACCTATAGAGCTGCAGAGGACGCAAAGCTGTGCGTGCCAAAGCAGCTATGCCCAAAAGTATCCCGGTGCTCCATGCCAACCCTTTCCTTTCCATGCCCGATTCGCCGAACGCCATCGCTATTGTAAGAGAATAACCACCGAGCTGTCGAGGAGTCTGTAGACGTGTGACGACTGGCCGTGAGTGCATGAACTTGTTTACCACTGTTTGAAGGGCCTCGACGCGTTCCAGATACTCTAAACAGAACACCGATATGCCTAGAATCCCGGGGGCCGTTGTCCAGACATCAGCGACTGTCTGAGCATCATGATTTGCTGTCGAGTCGCCGGATCCATCGCGTCAATCTGCTGCTGCGACAGGCTCATGACCTGTCGTATGAGGTCCTCCTTGCTCGGGGGGGCACCCTGTGGTGGCGCTGCTGCAGGCATCGCAGGCTGATAGACCGGTGGAGTAGGAACAGGTGCCGGTGGATATCCAGGAAAGCCGTGTGGTAGCTGCTGGACAGGCGGTTGTGGCGGAGGAGCTGGTGTGGGCGCCACAGCTTGGGTAGGATCGATGATGGTCGTGAGAACACTGGTGTCGACGAGGTTGAGGAGAAGCAGAGACTGGAAGATGGCATAGGAAAGTTGCGGCGCCTGCCTCAGAAGCTCTGTCGCCTTTGCCGGGTCCGACATCACCAGGCCCTTCATTTGTGAGAGTATGTCGAGGAGCTGCGCCGGTGGCAGCGTCGAGAGGGTTCGCGAGATGGCGTCGGGGGCACTGAGGCCTGGCTGCAGGTCGGTGCCTGGTGGTAGAGGGGGTAGAGAACTCGTCTGCGGAGGCTGCACTGGCTCCTGGCCGTTTGTAGGTAAAGGCGCTGGAGTGTATCCTGCCGGCGCAGCATCGCCAGCTCCGTTGTCGTTGGACCAGTCCACCCTCAGCTTCCTGCCCATGACGTCGTAGTCGTTGAGATTTCTGACAGCGGATGCGGCGGCGTCTGCGTCTGCGAATTCGGCGAATCCAAAGCCTTTTGGTCGGCCGGTGTCTTTGTCGTAAACGAGTCTGAAGTTGACAACTTGGCCCACGCGGGTGAGGGTGTCGACGATCAGTTCTTCGGTTCCGCCTGCGAGTTTATAAGCGCTAGCAACTTTGGTGAATGCGCGAAATTAGGGAGGATCTGTGCTGCAAGTTTCACTGGAGTTTGCTGTGCGCGCAGACCTTCTCCCGATTCCGCCAGATAGTCCTCACCATACGGGATGTTCCCAATGAACACGACCTTGCCTGCCTTATCATTTGGAGCTGGAGGCATGACTGTATATCCGTTTTCGAATTTGCGATTTAGTCGTTGAGGAGCAGGATTGTGTCGAAGTGTGAGGACAAGACCGGAAGAGCTCGAATTGGCCGTGAAGGTGAGGCTATGGCACAGACCATCCACGTGACAAGAAACGCTACCTCACACGATCAATCTCAAAGACAGTTTCTCACTCACAGATTCAGACACGTGAAATGTGTACTCATGTAAGATTTTGAGTTGAAATTGTATTGGGCTATTCATATGCTCCAGAACTGTCTGATGATCGATCATATCTATCATGCAATTACCCCATTAATTCATTCCTCAAATCACTATATTGCTCCTTTCCACCTTTCCATTCCCTCCACCTATAACTTGCTCGAGCAGCACACCTCTCCCTTCGCCCCCACCGTTGCCTCCGCTCCTGTCTGCTGATGCGACTGGCTAACCAAGGTGCTCTTGTTGAAACTCTGCTCACTTGGCGGCACATCCAGCGCCGGGTTCTTGTCAAAGAAGTTCACCGGTTTCATGTGAATCTTCAGAATCTCGCACGGCATGACCGGGAAATCCTCAATTCGTGGCACATGGTTGATGCCAAATTGTACGAAAACCACTACGTCCTCGTCCTTCACGGGTTCCTTGCGGTCTGCCCACGCGCGCACTCCATGGCCACCCCGAGATTGGTTCGTGTACTTCCCGCCGGCGAATAACTCGTCGTCGTGGTGTTTGACGACGTAGATGTTGTGATCTGCAAACTCTGCGCGCTTGTGGTTGAAGGAGTCCTTGTCCGCGAGCATCTTCTGGAAGGGAGGCGCCACAATCTTGTACGCGACCGGTTTGCCGTTGATGGGGTTACGGACAGCCGGGTTCTGAATCTTAAAGATGCGGTTCTTGTCATAGTCGAGATCGAAGCCGCCAGACTGGTCGATGACGGTTTCCTGGACGTAGTAGCCGGTACCATGGGGGTTGAAATCTGAGCGAGGCATTGGTAGGGCTTCATCGTAGGTTACGCGGTTGAGGTAACCGTCGAGCATGGGGTCGACACGCAGAGAGAATATGTGCTGGTGGTGGGCTGCTAGCACGCCTGGGTGGACGACTGTGCCGAAGGGCACTTCGATACCCTCGTCGATAGGCTGCGTGCTGAGAATGCCAGTGGCTCGGACCTCGTAGTTGCATTCTCCGGCCTGGTTGAACTGGAATGCTAGAATATATTCGTAGTTGGCAACGGTGATGATGGATTGGAGAACCAGTTCGCGAGACCGCACGACGGCTGCTCGTCCTGTCCGGTAGTTGGTGTGCTTCCATCCGATGCCGGCGTCTTGCTCGTGGATGCAGACGACGTTCTCCATTGGAGTTACGCCGCCTTTGTCATCAGAAAGCACAGCGTCGAGGTAGTAGATGGAACCTAGGCAATCACAGCCGAGCTTGAGGTTGTTCGCCATGATGCCCGCGCCGACGTCGCCAAGGTCAAATGCCGACTTCTTGTGGTAAGGATGGCGGGGGTCAGCGTAGGGGATGTTCATGTCGGAGAGGGAGAGGCGGTAGAAGAGAGTGCGGTTATCGTAGCGGACGTCGTAGAGAACCATGCCCTCCCGTTGGTTGAAGCCCACTCTGAACTGCCACTTCTGCCACGTGAGCACACTCGATGTTCCTTCTTGCGTCACATTGAAGCTTGCTCCCTCGGGTTGAACGACATTCAGTGGCTTGAGATCCGTCCTCAGCTTCTGGTGCTCGGGTAGGTACTCATTCGGCGGCTTGATCTGGTACGGCTCAAGCTCCTTAATGGTGTTGTCGACGCCAGTTGGTAGGATGTCGATCCGGATCACGCTCATATCCTCAGTCGTGATGACTGGGGAGATCGGAATCGGAAGAGCGTAGTGGTTGGAGTCAGCCTCAGCCGAGTTCAACGGATCCCTGATGTACAGAAAGCATTGATACATGCGAGCATCGTCGTTGACACCATCGGATCCTGTTTCAAGTTAGTGATACAGCCATCAGTCTGCATTTCTTATGCATACCGTATATCCAGGGATCGCTGATAATCACAGTCCCTTCCGGCAGCTTCAACTTCGCAATCTCAGCTTTTACCCCCTCATCCTCAAGCGCGATCTGCTCGACTCTCATGATTTCCTCTCCGTCTCCACCAGCGTGGAAGTTTGGCCCTAGTAGCACATTTCGTAGCACTCTGCCTGACGACAAATCCACCACCGCTTCATGGAATTTGTTCTATCCGAATCAGCTTCATCCCTCTTTTATACAGTCATCAAGTATCCACTCACAGTGTTGCGAATATAATAATTCACAAACGCCTTCCTGCTGACCCTCGGTAGTGGTTTGCCACTGTGCTCCGCCTCCAGATACGGCAAAACCTCAGACTTGGGCGGCTCCTCGAGTGTAACTGCCTTGAACTGCAAATCTGTATGCGCAGGCCACGACGCCTTGATCAGACCCGACGCAGCTGTGATCTCGGACGCATTCAAAGGAGCAAGCGGGTGGGAGACGCTCTGCTTGGCGGAGAAGACCGCGGGAGCGGTGGCGACAGTTTCAGTAGACATGATGCGATGGCGATATGGAATAACGACTTGCACAGGATACGAAGCGAACGAAGCTCCTCAAATGACCCTGGAAGTGAAGAATTCAGAGGGAAGGGGAGCAGGGAGGGAAGACGGCCGGTATTTGTATAAGAGAGGCGTGCATGCGAGTAGTAGGTGGTTTCAGTCTCTTTGACGGGCTAGACCTTGCTGCGATAAGGGAACAGAGACCTCAAGCGCATTCGGGAGTGGCAGCGCCTCGTACAACAACTGACGTCGCGGGCTGCGCAGCGGACCCATAACTCCATCGATGAGCAATGTTTGATGCTCTGCAGGCTGCGGCGTTGCTTTTCGGGATCCGCATCGGCCTGCCTCATGCAGCCTGGACAGGCGGTTGGTGGGAGCTGGAGAAGCCGATGAGCAAAGAGCTGGTGTGCTGGTGTGCTGGCTCGATAACGGCCCCGCTGTGGGCTTGCTGCGTCGGCCATTTTCGCATTGGGTGGGCGGTAGTAGTGGGGAGGTGCGTGAGGGAGGCATCGACGAGCGCTGAGTGGATGTCGATTTTGATAGCGGGCCCTGGTATACAGAGCTCGATGTGCTATATCGAACTATCCTGGTCTGCTCTACCTGCCAAGGTGCCTCTTCTGAGGTATGTGGCCTATCTAGATTGCGCCTATTAAGTTCTCAGTATCGACCGTAGATCGAGAGCACAGACCGAGGCTAAGAGCACCCCTTCTAACGCACCCACTCCATTTATCATCAACACCAACATCCCGTCACCCCGCGGACCCTCATCCGTATTTCACGGCCAAGCTTAGCCCCTCTTCATGCCCCGCATAGCACCTGAAGCTTGTGATGACTAGACAGCAACGGGCAAGTCCACCCGAACGGCAATTCTAAGTTTGTTGACGTCTGCACCCCATCCCTCCGTTTCTCGGTCGGAGAAGCTCAGACAGTGTCTTCTTTAGGGCAGCAGCACCGTCGGCAGCTGCCGTGACTTACACAAGGTATCGCGTCTTGCTGATTTGTCGTTCCTCGAAGGCCACGGGTAGACGTCATGGAAAACTGCCTATCTGGGAAGTTCAACGTATGGTACGGTCCCACTGTGCAATTTCACGACTCAACTCATCGTGGGAAAAGCTTCTACGATGCTACGAAAATCTCTTGGGCACAATGGGGGACTAATGATGATATGCCCCCCTTTCGGTACGCAGCCATCACGACTCTTACAGGAACTTCGGTTACACACTTATTTATTACTACTCATAGCGCTCCATCACTATTTGAACAATTTCACTGCAATAAGTGCCTCCAAAACCACCAAGCAACAAACCCTCGAACAATAAACACTTGATCACAAAGCCAATAAAGAAAACCCCACCACCTACCCTGAGCATACCTACTGTACGCCTCATCGTGGTCCCAAGGGATGAGTCTGACCCCAACACTCGCCAGTTTCTGAACCAGATCGTATCTCCGGATGCCCTGAGCGTACTCTTCCCATTTCTCTTCGGGGATTGAATCCGTCTTGATGAACTTCAGAGAGGGGAAGCGCCCCTTTTCTAGCCACGGGACGAACGCGACTAACGGCTCCAACAAGATCGTGCACTCACACGCCTCTTCCTCCGGCAACAAAACCGCACACCGATTCAATGTCAGCGCCTTTAGCGAACTGGGAAGGCTGAGCGCGAGACGCTCTGCTATGGCTGCTGGGTCGAAGGCGGCTGGGTCGAAGGTCGGTGGGTCGAAAGCATCGATGTCGCGGTCGAGTAAATAGGCGAAATCGACGTCGAGGGACTGAAGTTGTGAAAATGCGGTGAAAGACGCGGCTAACCCATCTGAGAAGTATATGCAGAATTCCTTCAGTGTCTCACGATGCGTCTCTAGGCACATGACCAGTGTTTCCAAGGTTGTTAATGCGCCTTCGTCATACTCATCTTCGTCTTCTTCGTCGTCTTCTTCATCTTCTTCGTCGTCGCTGCCCTTCACATCCGGGGCCCACGTGAAGCTCTTCAATCCCTTGAAGCCCTTGAGGACGAATGCGATTTGCTCGTCGGTAGCCCAGCCCCATATCTGAAAATGAGTAAGACTTGAACTGATCTTCTGGTTCCCAACTTGATGCAGCGGCCCATACTGAGTATTATTTTCCGCCTTCGTATTGAGTGTCCGCAACCGCGGCAGATACACTAAGCTCGCCTTGAAGTCCAGCCCAGTACCCCGGTGAAAATAGGTAGTCCTCTCGCGTCCTTCGATCGAGATATCGAGGTGCCTTAATGTTCCCAAGATCGGCATCGAGGCGAGGTGCGCTAGCGTCGATAGGAGAGGTAGTGTGTAGTGGCCACGTATGAAGAGTCTGCGTAGATTCGGTATCACCGACAGAACCCCAGCAACCAGCGCCTCGTAAAAGAACTCTCCATTCAGCATATCCACCCACACCGCTTTCAGATTTTCGGGAACGTCGGGTAGACCTTGGATGTGCACTATCAGATCCGGGATGACCCATTCGATCGCCGGCGACGTATCGATATACGACGAATTGCGTGCCTTGAAGACACCGGGACTCAGAATACTCAAATGGAGATTCTTCGCCTTCCTCGCAAGTCCTGGGTTCCGCCGGAAAACATCAAAGAGGCGCGCCAGTCTCCCTGGCTCCTCGTACTTCTTGATGACTACCCCAGCAGCAGCACCACCACCATCTTCATCTTCTTCACCATCACCCTCATCATCGCCTGTCAACCCAACACCAACATCCTGGAATAATATCTCCTGTGCACAGTTGGCAAATCTTTTAGACACCTGGGAAAGGACGAGTAGGGTAGCTCGGTGTTCGCGTTCGACCTGTCGACTCGCCTCGTCTTGGGCAGGGAATGTGCCGGCCCGGAAATTCGACATAATATTGACCAAGACTTCGTCCGGGAGGCCTTGTATCGCCATTTTCGCTGGCGACGCTCCGATTGCCGTCCCTATGGATGAATAGGCGTTATCATTCACCTCTTGAACTAGAGCGCTGAAAGCGTTGATAAAGGTATGTGGCGGGTACTGCTTTCGTGAACGAGGATGTAGCGATGAGAGATGGGAAAAAAAGTGCGACGCTGCAGAAGATTCTATTCAAGTGTGACATCAGAGCTTAACCAGATCAATGGGTCGTCCTCGAGTCCGTGATGCTTCTACCACGGTAACAGCAGGAAATCCGCTGGTAGCGAGTATTCCACCAAACTCCTCCACCAAAACTCGCACAACTTGCCCTTATCCATCTAACATATCTTACTCGATTAACGTTACAGTAATTAGGACACAGGCTTGCGCATGCCGTCTTTCCATCTCGTCCTCATTGATGATGAGGTGCTAAAGCACCGCAAACAGCAGCAAGTAGGTACACTACCAGGGTGTGGAGATTCTCTAATTCAAAGCTCTTTGAACGCACCGAAGCATCTCCAACAGTGGTGAGAAAGTGCGCCCAGACTTTTGGCAAGGCACTGTACTATAGCTTAAAGGACGCTAGGAATAACCTAAGCGTGGAAACCTTGTATTTGATTGAATTACTAGCCTATTCGAGTGTGAACGAAGGCGAGATATAAGAAGAGGGGGAAGGCGGGTGCGCGAATAGTGAAAAGGTAGTGTACGATTAGTTGTCTTAAAGCGCCTTACAGCACTATACATTAGTTGCGTTGATCAGTCTTTACACATCAGACACCATCACCAACAGCACGAGTCTTCTATAACTCACTTTCTCGATTCTACATTAAGCCCGGTAGTCAAGCCGTCAATCGCATAGTCTAATCAGAGACTTCTCAGAGTCTACCAAGCAAACAAAAGAAAAGGCCATAGTCAGGCGTTCTCCGCCATGAATGCTCGCTCGAGATCACAAAATGGAGTGTGTTCAAGAAGAAACCGAACTCTGTCACGCCAGATTTGGACTTTCCGGTTGTAGATTTTGGATCCGCAACCTGTCATGCCGATCCGAAAAATTAGAACTCCCCCCTGACGCCAGAAATGCTATTGCTGCTGTGAAGCCCCGCAAAAGGAAAGCAAGAGAAAAGAGAACCAAATGACAAAGGGAAAGAAGTAAAGAAAAGGGTTAAAGTCGATAATGGGGGTATGAGGCTAGGTCATAGTTTTTCCGATTTTATGTTTTTCGTTATTCGTTGTGAGTCCATACACACCGTGTGTCGGTCGAGGCATTGCTCCTTTGTTCGTTTACTCCGATATATACAGAAGCCGGAGATATCCGTACTGGATTGGATAGGACAGTCTGCCACTGCTTGGGGTGCTTCAGAGAATTTTCAAGAATTGGAACGATATAGAAGCCCTTCAGTTTGGGCTACGTGGAAAATTGTTGAAGCACTTCATGCAGTGGCAGACAGGTGTACGCGCTCATCATGTGTTCGTGTTCCAGGTACGGTTGCTCTTCCCCAAGCTGCCCACAGTCCCACTTGAAGCCCTCTGTCCGCCGATAGGACCCAAGCCTGGAGGCGACCTGCTGTAGGACGCCCACGGGTCGTTCCCGCCGGACAACCGCTTCTGATTTGCGCTGCTGAGAGAACCAACGGCCGGCTCATCCTTGCTCTTCTCCTTGCTGCGCTCCGCTTCTTCTTCCTCCTCCATGCTAAACAGCCCTTGCTCCTCGTCAATGCGCTCTCGATTGATACTTGAGCTGCTGACGGCACGATCGACGCTAATCCGACCTCCGGCTGAACTTCCAATGGAACCAGCGGACAAAACACGCATACCCATTCCAGGGTGTTCGGATCCATCTGAAGCTCGGGAGTTGATTCGCGTGCGTTGCAGTTGTTGGGTGAGCAGGCCCATGCTGCTTGTTTGACGAGGGGGCGATGACAAGAAGCTGCTACCATCTCCCGACGTAGGGCGCGTGGTAGCTCGGATCGAAGGGCTCGCCCCAGGATGCAGACTAGAGTTTCGAAGGGGAGATCCTACATGACCAAATGCAGATGCACCTGCTGGACCCGATCCGCTCTCTACCCCGCCTTCATTCGGTCGAGCGCGCGAGAACAGCGACTGGAACCGAGACGGAGAAGAAGATGCAGCAGACGGAGAGCCTACTTTAGAGCCAGAGTCTGCAGGCGATACTCCTAATCCAGAAAACGACTCGCCATGGTCCCGTGATTGACGGCGCATATTCTCCTGTGGGGTCAGAAGCTCACCCAAGGTACTAGGGAGCATCTCTTCCTCATGAGGGAAAATAAGCCCCTCTCCGTCTGCGTCCCAGTCCTCGAATCCTGTACGAGGAGGTTTCGCGCCAAGACTTGACGATAGGGCGTTCTTTGACCTTGACGAGAAGCGCTCCGAGTGCATGATGCGTCGGCCGTACTGCTGATCGGTGGAGTCTGGCGGCGACGAGCCTAGGAGGTCGTTCCGACCGTTGCGAGAATCGTCGCCAAATGCGGAGTTGTGAAGGTTTCGAAGTGCGGGCGAGTCGCCGATGCTCTTTTCCGGATACGAGGATGGAGGCGAGGATCCGAGACCGAACCTAGATGGCACAGATGCAGCAAGAGGGCCAAAACGCGCCATGTGCGAGATCCCCTGACTGTCGAAGGAGGCTGGAAGCGGCGCGTCCAGAACGCTCCGACCCTTCTGACCTGGAGAGATGGGCAAGAGGCCGCCGTCGTTCGGGGGCGAGCCGTAGTTGGATCCGGGGTGCGACGAAAAGGTAGTGTCGATAGTGGGTATATCGTAGTTTGCGTTCTGGCGGGGCTGGCTCCAAGGATCTTCCTGCATCTGACTGTAGGCGTAATTTGATGGCTGCATCGGGGCCATGTGTGCCTGCATGGAGAGCAGCGAGGTGGGTGGCGGGGGCTCGGCATGGTGTTGCAGATTGACCCTCCCTCCGAGATTGAGATGTCCACCTCCTCCAAAGCCTTGCTTGTTGACTACGCGGCCGTCGGGGAGAATGTGTGCGAGGGCACATTTGGCGCCGAACTTGCAGTTGCCCTAGCTGAGGTTAGCTACAGTTCTTCCTGGCAACACAGCGAGCTACTCACTTTAGTAAAGTACTTGCAAGGAGCTCTCTCGGTGGGCTCGTCAGTGTGAAGGAAGGGACAGGCTTTGCCCGCCTGGCAGGCTCCCTGGCGGTAGAATTTGCACGGCACGTGTGACGTGCCTGCGCGCGTCAGCGTCAGTCTGGTCAAGGAGATATAGCCCGAGAAGACGTGTCTACTCACTCTTGTTGTTTGGCGGGCTCCGCGGTCCAAAGTCTGCTCCACGCATGTTGCCCATGCCCCCGTTGCCGACGCGATTGTGCGGGACGGGCACAGCTCCGTTGCGGTTTGTGCCAGGCATGGCGCCGTTGGCTGGCGCTGGGCGGAAGTCTTGGGAGTGGCGCTGGGCGATCTGGTGGCCGTTGGTGCCGTTGTTTGGAGCAAAAGTGAGGTTGAAGGAGTTCATGGTAGCGGAGGAGACAGTACTGTGGTGCAGACCTGGCGGGGAGCGGGGCTCGTCGGTGAACGCTGGGGCGGGTTGCGGGGACTGCAGCGGGAATGCAGTCATGCCGGTGAAAGAGTCGCCAGGGCCGGGAGAGGGCAGCGGTGAATGCGGAGGGGTCGGCGCAGAGAAGTGTCGAGGAGGAGGCAAGATGCGTGAGGCTCGGCGGGGATTCGAGAAGTCAGGGCTTGGTGGGCGTCGACAGGGATTGGGCGTCAGGCGCGCTTTTGGTTGTGCGCCTGGCTGGAGCGCTGCGGATCAAGCACGGTGCAAATAAATCACAGCTTCCAGGCAGCCTTACGCCGAGAAGAAGGAGAAGCGGCCGGCATCGTCTCCGGAGCGGAACGGCTACTCGAGGTCAGTCGCATGGCCATATCGAAGCGCGGGTCACATGGCGCCAAGCCGTCTGCCCTGATGCGGTCACAAGGCGTGCTTCACTGCGGCGGACGGGCACCTCCGCAGGGCTGGAGGGGCTGGGAGGCCGGGATGACCCCTCAGCGACGAGTCTTCGTCGCAGATAGGCGTCGCAGCTGAGACACAAGCAGGTAGCGAGCACCTGCAGGATTGTGGTGACTTCTGGCGCCAAAGCGCATCAAGACCATCGCATTGCTGCAATAGGCTTAGCGCCCGGTCCGCGACCGAGCGATCCATGGATCGAGATACGCAGGGTCAGACTCCACTGTGTCAGCCATCACCAGCCTCGTCGTCACATCTTCTTAGCAAAGCTGCCCGAGGTGGCTTAACGAGTGTACAGATTGTTCAAATGAATCCATTTTAGGTCCCTGAAAAAGACTCGGCAAACCACAGCCAACAGTCGTCAAAGTAGAATTGGACGTGACAAGCACGGAATCAACTAACCAGGCAGTTGCGAAAGTCGGGGAGTGCTTCGGAAAACTAGACATCCTCGTAAACAACGCGGGATGGCTGGAAATCGGAGCTCCAATACACGAGAGCGATCCTATGTCCTGGTGGCAAAGCTTCGAAGTCAACGTCAATGGGGTGTATCTATCAACAAGAGCGTTCTTGCCCTTGCTGCTTACAACTCCTCGCTCCTCGTCGTCTCGACAAATCATCAATCTTACTAGCATTGGAGCTTTGATGATTATACCTGGGATGTCCGCATACAACACAGCCAAGCTTGCCATCTGTAGATTTACCGAGTATACAGCGGCTGAGTATGCGGATCAGGGCGTCATTGCTATCAGTCTTCATCCAGGAGGTGCAGCTACGGACATGGGACTTAGCCTTCCGGAAGAACATCATACCAGTGAGTTGACTTCCCCGATAACCTTGAGGCGACAAGACGTACTCACGTGAATATAGGCTTGACCGATACCCCAAAGTTGGCAGCAGACACGGCCGTCTGGCTGATGAAGGAGAGACGAGAGTGGCTCAACGGTCGCTATGTAAGCTGTCAGTGGGACTTACCAGAGCTTGAGGTCAAGGAAAAGGAGATCGAAGATAGAAATCTTCTCAAGAACAAGATGCTTGTTTGAGAAAGACGTCGTATGCAAAGGTAGCAGGAGATACTCGTAGAGCTTTTAATCTGAATTTCAGATGTTTCTCGCACAGTATTTCTTTACGAGGAAGTGGTGAAAATATATCGCGTTTGACGAATTTCCGGTTCATTTGTCCACACGATTTCCATGCAAGCTATGACTGTTTACAATGGTGTGGTTGAAACCTGTAATAGGCAGCAGGTCGAGTTGCCCGGGCAACTACCACGCCCTCAAATGGAAACTCTTGGCCGCCAAGACGAGCTCAACCGTGGAGTATCGAGTAATCGAATTTGCCATCCATTCGAGGACCCAACCACATTTTTGCACATAACTCCACAACCACGCCTCGTACCAAGAAAATGACGCCGGGACTGGATGCGCCTTAGCAAGGAGGATGATTAAGGAAGTTTTGGTATCAGCAATCTGCTCGTCCGTTGCGATAGAGGTGGGTCGGCGAGTTAGGCTAAGAAAAAGGCACAATTTCCTTCGTCAAAACAAAGACACCGCAGCAGATGCAGGCCGCTTAAAGCCCTCGTAGCTGACCCAAACCCACCATCTAGAGTCACACGACGTCACAAATCTCTATACGTCTTCCTCATTCTCGTCTCCGGTCCAAAAACAGAGTAAGTTAACGCGGAGTGACCGTGCCGGTGCTATTAATTGATCTGAGATTGTCGTTGCCAAAACAGCATCCCACCTCATCACGCTGAGCGGGGAAAAAGTGGCACAATCATCAAGCATTTTGTTCTCGTGCAGGAGTGTATACACCTGTCTACCACTGCTTGGGGTGCTTCAACAAGTGTCCTCATAGCCTAAGGTGAAGGACTTCTATCTTGTTCATATATCTGAAGATGTGTTGAAGCACCCAGAGTAGTGGCTTACACGTGCACACCCACCGCGGCTTGTTCTAGATCCAGTTCCTAGAGTGCCACTTTTTTCCTGTCCAGCGCGTGTGGGTAGCGGGCGTGGTAATGGAGGGGTTCTTGATATGTCACTCATGTGGTTCCTATTGAGAAAAAGTGATGATTGTTCAGAGCTACTCTAGAAGTGCAACAGATATCCTTCCCAAACCAAATTAAAATAGCAATAACAGTATGAGGATAAGATATCCAACAGGCAAAATCTAAAGCCGTAAAGAATACTCAGCCCGATTAACAACCTGCCCCGTAATTACCTAACAGTCATAGCCAATCCACCGCAGAAAAACAGTCGTAAACACCCATAAGCCAATACCCTCCCACCCCCTTGCCCTTCCTAAGGCTTATGCATCCACACCCAAACCGCCCCCTTATCTCCATCCCTCCGATTCTTCGTCCACCCAACCACCGTCAGCGGAAAACCCGCCCGTTCACTCGTATAAACAAACGTGCTCCCCCTCGCCCACTTCCCATCCCCCTTCTCCACCACCTCCGTAATCGCCCACGCGCTACAGTCCTGCCCCGGCCTCAGCGCCTCCATCAGCTGCTTCACATTCCAATTACAGTCCGCATGGAATTTCTGCACCTCCGCTTGATTCGTATTGGCGTCGTCAGCCCACGGTGGGTTATCCATCACGAACACATGGATGCTGCAGTACTCCTTGCTGAACAGGATGTTGTACCCCGGCTGCCGGCCGCCCGGGAAGTGCAGGTTCGAGCCCTCGTTCGGCATGTTGGGGATCGTTGCGGGCGGCCCGCCGAGGTTGTTGGCGACCCAGGCGGGCGGGATGTGGCCGCCGTGAGGGGGCTGGGGCATTGGAGGGCCGAATTGCATTGGTGGTGGTGCCATCATGGGGGGTGGACCACCCAATTGTATGGGCATGGGCACGGGCATGCCGAATGTTGCGGGTGGAGGCGCGAAGGTGAGGGGAGGGCCGGCTATACCTATGGCGAGTGGGGGTCCGAAAGCCATGGGGGCAGCGGGCATGGGGAATGGGAGCGCTGGGGCGCCGAAATAGGCTTCGGGGGGCATGGAGGGGGGGAAGTCCTCGGGGGTGATGAGGTGCGGGTTGTTGCCCAGGTTAAGCATGCCGCGGTTTGGTTGGAAGCCCCAGGACATGGTTGGGAGTTCTCAGGGGATGATGGTTTTCTGAGGCTAGGGCTGTGTTAACTTCGTCGCGTCAATCGAGTATACTATAGAGATAGGCTTACGATATAGTGGTCACGGCGACAGGGGAAAGAGGGCTGTCTTGTGGATAGGTAGAGGCTTGAAAAAGGTTGGAAAGTCGAGGTCAGGTCCAGATGTCATGCACTATTGATGTAACTAGAGAAGTCCGGTGGGTGGATGAGGATGATGGATTCTATACGACAGGAGGTCTCCATATATAGCTGAGAACCAAATGTCAACAAGGCAGCAAAAAATGAAGAAAGACGCCATGATCATAGGTTCCGCCAGCGAAGCAAGGCGAAACCAACATGGCCGGGCTCTGACGCCTACAGGAGTGACGCCATGAGAGTTGTAGTAATGCGGTGGCAGAGAGTATATCACGAAGGAATGTAGAAAACGCATCGTAGATGACTCGATGTCTACCATGATCCAGCATGTGGCATAGGTCATGTCTCGGTCAATGGTGTTGCTGCTGCTAGCTGGACCACCTGTGTGAAGTTTGAGAACCCCTGACCAGCTCGATAGGGGGAACTGGTGTTCTCGCTGGCCCCCAAGCCATGTCGTGTCGTAGACGTTGCTGATGCCGCGGTGGGAACGCAGTGAAGGAAGGTTAGAGGAAGTGGGAATGCGCGGGTCAAAATCAACTTTTTGAAGCCGAGACGAGTGACCAAGGCCGCATGTTAGAGTCAGCTGATGAATGATAGCTGTTTGATTGTCGTGGCTGTACACTACGTGTGTGGCAGCGTGTAGGTTGGGAGTGAAGTCGGCTTTGGAAAGGGTATGCCGGATAAACGGCGGGCCGAATGGCCACGTTGATTCGGGGTCTCTAACGGCCTCAGGCAAAAAACTCAGCAATACAGTCCTGATCGGCGTCGTTGGTGGTTCGTACAATACCTCGTCATTGAAATCCGTACACTGGTTTACCGCTGTGTGAGGAGCCTCGTAGTATTTCCAGCAGTCCGAATGAGAAAAAAGTTCGGTATTTTGGAACTAGTAATCTCGGGTGAGGCTACCTTAGATAGTGCTAACAGGATGTACACATATTGGAAGTGTATCCGCTGCCCCCGGTTTCTATTAGTACGTTGAAGCCCCACAAACAGTGGCAGGAAAGTGTACGGATGTCTATGGCAAGGCACTGTAAGAGAACTTTTTGATGAAGTTTGGTAGTCAGGTACTAGCAGAAGTCAAAAGAAGATATAAAGATAATCCGGTTGCATGCTGCAAGAAGAAAGGGCTTGATAGCAACGTTTGGCGGCTGAGCCCCATAATTTGACAGTGTAGAGAAGGAAGACAGAGATAGAGTACAAATATGAGGATGTTTCGGGAAGAATCAGCCTCCGGCAACGACCGCAAGCCCTTCATAAATCTTTCTCTTGACCTTGAAGAATGTGCCCCCTTCGATGTTCCGCGGATCGGCCATACTATAAGCACCGCCGTCCACCTCAATCTTGCCTGTGCCGCTTTTCCTGACAGCCACCGTGCCATTGATGACCAGTGTTCCCTCGCCTCTGAACTCTGCCGTCATACCGGAAGCCTGCATTATCTTACGGAGATCGGCTAGCCTTAGATCGCCTACATGAAGTGGCTGGGCTACTGATCGCGTCGCAGCAGCCATATTGGCGGGAACGACATCAAGAACAGGCGTAGTGTCCATAGCCTCTTCATATTCGTCTCCATCTTGTGCATCTTGGCTTTCTCCCTCGATAGTCTTAAGCTTCTTCTTGGCTCCTTGCTCTGGCTTACTCTCAAGAGAAGCTGCTTCTAGTCGCCCTGTAATGGCCACAACGCCGAGGCCCTTAACCTTCTGCCAGTGTAACCTGCGAACCATTGATTGGCTAAGCTTGACTGTCCAGGCGTTGGTGTCGACACTCGCATCGACTGTTATTCCTACAAGGGGCGTGAAGACGTCGACGCCACCCTGGATTGCTTCTCCAGACCCAGCATTCAATAGTTGACGGCAATCAACTGCGAGATCGTCTGTCTCCGATGCTTCTCCAGACACCAAGATGAGTTTTCGTGGTTTGATGAGAGGGATCAACATCTGAATGCTACGCTTGTCATGAAGCCCAGAGAAGTCCACGAACGAGATTCGACAATCCAGTCGGATGGTTTGTTGCGAGAAAACTACCTTAGAGGGGCCCTCCGCCGTCTTCGCTAAAGCTTCATCTTCGCTGTCTGAAGAATCGCTCCCCGCTTCCTCGTAACCATTTCTCAAGGAGTTGTCGGCATCCATTCCACCCATGGTAGCATCGCCGTCATTCGCTCTGCGTCTCTTGACATTGCCGTTTGACAGGCGACGCGCGCCCACGGCATTTCGCGTTCCAACGTCATCCCATTTTCGTTTCTGTCCCACGGCGTTTTCCTTCTTCATCCCGCCATCACGCATATCCTCGCCATCAACTTCGTCGCGTTCTTCAGCCCGTAGATATTCTTCTGGCCGGATAAGATCACCGAAATCGTCACCTCGCCTTCGTTTGGCGACGTAGGGAAACATCTTTTCTCGGCCTTTCTTGCCCCGTACCTCATAGTCGTATACGTTTTTCCGCCGGATGAGAATGTTGATACCCAGCTCAGCGTCACTGAGGCCAAGCTTATGTCGAGCATGAGATAGGGTTGCCGCGGTATTCAAAGCTTTACCCTGGTGTTCAACATCTGAGTCCTCTGAGGTCGTCGAAGTTGAAGACGAACGGTCGTCTACAGCGTCCGCAGAAGTCTCAAGGGTCGTACTAGTGTCACCTTGCATGGTATTCTGTAGTTGCCGCTGTCTGGCAAGATACTGTTGATATAGAGGTATCTCGCTGCCAACAAGAGGAACTGTATCGACTGTTCGAAATACGATCTCATTTCCGGAGGCATCAACGACTGCAGTCGCGCTAGAGTCTACCTCTGCGTCTACTGCGGACGGTTTCTGCTCATCCCATATTTCCCAAAGGATTCTACCGAGCCCTTTGCTGTCGTTTGACGCTTTGCCAACGCGTTCAGTCAAAATGATGAGATTGCGATTGTCCGTTGCAATGCTCTTGAGGGCTTCCTTTGAAAAACCCCAGTCGAGAGATGTGTCGCTGGCAAGGATAACACGTGGGCCATCGGCTGAAAGTAGACGATTGACCTGTGATTTGCGTTCCAGAAGCTTGAGATGTTGAAAGTCAAAGGGAGCCTTTTTGATTTTCTGCTCGTTAGTGCCTCCAGATGGTCCGCCTTGCTGACTTCTGTTCCGCTTATGACCCTGCCCTTCCTGGGCGCCACTGGCGGTCTCGAATTCTCTCACAATGCCCTCCTCCATCCACTCCAACATACTTCGGGCGTATCTCATGGTTGCGCCACTGGTCCGACTAGCTAGATAGAGCTTAGCCCTCCTTAAAGGGCTGCTGCCGTCGCCACTCTCGACTTCCGCCTGCCATGCATCTTCCAAGAGATAGGCTAGTTCCAGAACACGAGCACTGGAATCGGAGGGTATCAATACAGTGCCCCCATTCGCGACGGTATCTTTGATCATCGAAAGCAGAGTATCGTCTCGTTTTTTACGTCCTCCTGCTAGCGCAATAGTTCCAGAGCCTCTGCTGCTGCATATCATTGCCGTCGGTCGTCGCAACTGTTCGAGGACCTCAGATCCACCAAGTCCAGCACCTCCCAGCCATGCGGCCCCAGACAAGACATGCTCTCGGGCTTGATTCCAGTCGACAGCGTACACGATCGACTCCAACCCATGCTGAATGTGCCAGATTGTTCCCCCTAAAGTATGACCAGCACTGTATGCCGTGATTGTGAGTCCGCCGAGAGGGGGTGAAAAGGGAGAAGGCAGAGGTTGGTGTGGCTGCGAATACTTCAGTGGATGGATCAAAGAGAAGTATCCAGCAGTTTCGTCGGGGGTTGGCCCTTGTAGAAGGATGTTCGGATTGTTTCCATCTCGGAATGATGGGAAGGAGTATGCCGATTCGGAGAGAGCGTTTTTGGGGATGATTGATGAGGCCAGAGGCGTGGATGCGTACAAGTCTTGCAGCAGTGTACGACCAAGGGAGATGACGGGTAGGGTGGCGTAGACCGGTATCCTGGTGAATAATGGGAAGTTTTTGCAGCAATGTGCAAATGCGGCGAGATGGGCAGTGGTTGCATGTGTGAGCAGGATGACAGAGAGGGTAGGCACTTGTCTGAAGGCAATTGTCAGTGAGGGCTTCAACTAAGCTTCGAAAGTTGGCAGAATGGTTCATGATTCGAAGCAGCTCCCTGACTCTATATACACAGGGCCGTGTTTGCCGCGCTCGTTTGCGTTTGCGAAGCCACGATCAGAGTGTGTTCCTGCCAGCGCATTCGTACCTTTCAAGCTCCTTCAACTTCTCCACGTCAAAGCTCTCATCCCATCCTACATCAATGAGTATCTTGATTCCCCCATCAAATTCAAGTAAGGACTGCGACGCCGGCGAGCTGGACTGCGCGCCAAGCAGAGGAGTGAAGTTGAACATGCTTTCAGGAGCTGCAGCTGCGCGTTTGCGCCTCGCTGAGGATGGCTTTATTCGGTGTCGCGGATCGGGAAGGTAATGCGACCGCAATACATTCTTGAAAGTTCGTCCTTGATGAAGTTGTTGACAAAGGATGGTGGGTGGTAAGGACTGTGGAGACAGCTACTCTGCTTCATTCACGTCGCGTCGAGAAATCTTAGCGTGCCTGCTCCGTATCAAACGTCACGTGGGCGGTCCTTTCGGCTTACCACTTCTTTTACCCCCCTCGCTCAACGTCCACTCCCCACGCCGCCGAGTGCATTCAAACTACATCTCTTCTAGATATCTTGCAACTCACTGAAGCACTCTAGAAGCTGGCAACATGCCGACTAAGCGCTTCAATTACCGCATGTTCACATCTTGAAGCCACTATTGTGAGAGCAGCACTGCATCATAGGTTCTGGTTGCTTGAGTCTCTGACGCTCACGCGTATCTCTCTTTTCTCTCTCCCTCTCCGGTATATTGTTATCTGTGTACACCTGGTTACCGTTGCGTGTCTTGTCTCGCGGAATTTTCAAGGCTTTCGGCCTGATTTAAGCCTATCATTTGAGCGACTGGTCACCTCGCTAGACTACCGCCTGATGATCGGAGAGATTTTTGGGCAGAACGGACACTCTGCCTTGGCTGTGGTCCATTGATCCTATCATTACCCCGTAATCCGAAGCTCCATCAAAGAGGTATTATGTGTCGAGTCATGCTACGCCTGACCCGCTCCCAGCCGAATTAAAATGCCTGCGCTAGGGATTACTTGACTGCGGCATCCGCTGCCCAACCACTCGACTTCCACCATTAACACCACACAATAAAATAAACGACAGTCTGCCTTCTCTGGGGCATACTGAGATGGTACCGTATGAGCTGAGTGTGCCAAGCCCGACTCCTGCTGGTCCCTGTAGCGTGGAGCGGCTGATCCAATAAGAAGCCGAGTCTTAAGAATTTTCTTGCAAGAGGGTTCGCGATGTTATTAGTATTCGCAAGTTATCTAGTATTCGCAAGCTCATACTGGATAAGTTGGATAGACTTCGGCTCTAATTCCTCGCCGTCTTCAAGCCCCGATCTCACATGACACTATGGCGCCTCTCCAAGAGTATCTAACAAATAAGCTCTGCCGGCGCTGCTGGGCCTCACATTCGCAATCCCGGCTTCCCCAATTAAGCAAGCGTAGAACATTACTGGGAGCCTGCATCCCTCCAAGCCACAAGCGACATAGTGGAGACGCCATGCGCTGGGACCGCCGTCGTCATTCAAGAAGATCTGTATTGAGGCGAAAGGATCACAGGACCCCACCGCTACTCAATAGCTCTACGAGCATGGCGAATCGAGGGCGGCAACAACACCGATAAGATCTCATCAGCTGCTGCTGGGCCCGCGAAGAGTGGAGTGGTTTGTCTGGAAGTTAGCAATGATTGGCCCTCCTGATGCGAGCAATGATGTGCATTAGCGCCTGCAGCCGCGCTTGACTAAACGTGGTGGAGGTAGGTGTGTGACAGTGCTTGGGGCTGCACGTATCAGCAGCGGAGCAGCGGCGCAGCGGCCCTCGAAGTTCCATCGAGAGTCCGCAATGCGGTAGTTTCGCCCGCTGAGGGATCTGCTAAGAGTTTGCAGCTCGCAGCTGACGAACTAGACGCACAGTCCAACGGAAATTGCACGCCCGCGAGTGCAACCCGACAAGAAGGCAGATGTCGAGGGTACATAATGTACATTCGCATCGTCGCAGGGTTTCCAATTTGGAAACACGGGAGGACGGCAAGTGGAGACGGGGGTCCCAACTTCACCCGCCCGCTGATCGCAGCCGCGGTGGTGCGTCGAGTATCGACCCATCTTGCGGAACACCCGTCCACCGTCGCCCTCAAATCTTGGTTCCGAGCGAGATGAACGGAACCCTGAAAGTCAAATTATGATAGCGTCAGAGGATGAGTGGGTCGCTTCAGCAGGCTGCATCGTTTCCGCTGGTGCACGCCTAGAGAACTAGAGGCAAGCTACTCAGCAGCGTCACTTCTCGCCAGCTTACGCAAGTGAATCAATATGTGAATACAATATCGCTCACATCCAGCTCTCGGATCCTTCTCCTCGTGCACGACACTCACCCACAGCAGACGGCAGGAACACTGGCACCTGGGTCAAGTGCCACGCAGCGGAGGCGAATCCGCAAGTAGCACAAAGAGCGAGTCTGGAGCATCCCGCTGTCGACGATGAAAGTGTGAAACGGAGGCGCTCAGACGGCGCCCTCGCCCACGGTTCACGCCTCATTATTGCTCCCGTCAGCGCTGGCTTGGGCTCTGCCGACATGTGATGGGTGTTACCTCCCCCCGCATTAACGCGACGCCTGCTCCCGGCGCTGCTCAGATCGGCAGCCGACGACTCTCGTTTATTATTCGTGCTCAGCTCAATGGCCCGTCACAGCTGGACAGGCCAACTCCTAGCTATGGTGCGACCATGGCGGACCTTGGACCTCCAAGCTTGCCGGGTCCTCCACACCCAACTCCACGATGAGAGAGGCCGGGGCAGTGGCCGACGATGCACCGAGCGACCAGCGTCCGTGATAAGCAGCGCGAGTCCGTCAACCGAAATGCAGGAACTCATTCATAGCTTTGCAGGTTGAACGCCGTTTGGAATGGCCCGGTGAGTCTACCGATTGTTTAAGTCGTCTGCTTGACATCCAATTGAACTTATCTTGTTGAGTCACACTAAACGGTAGTATACACACCTTTACTAAAACACAGCATTTTCCAATTTGCGAACTCCGTTGCTGCATGTCGTCTCCGTTACACTCTCCAACACGTCGCCGATGCCCGTCTGCAGATCTACGCTCGCACGCCAGGCACGAAAAAAGTGGCACACTCATCAAGTACTCTGCCCGTGTGTACACCTGTTTACCACTGCAGGAAGTGCTTCAACAAGTTTCCACATAGCCAAAGGCAAAGAGTATTTATCTTCTTTAAATTTCTGAAAATACATTGAAGCAACCCAAGCAGTGGCAGACAGGTGTACACCCACCGCGGCTTGTTCTAGAATTAGAGTGCCACCTTTTCCATATCCCGCGTGGCTCGTCCCCAGACTCTCAGTGTCGAATCGCGTCGGTGGCTGGATTTCTCCGACTGGTCAGCGGCATACGTGCTCGTTCTCAGCAGTCGGTGAGAGAGTTGCTTTTTCGGCAGACCCGGGGTACGCCGTCACGTCAAGTGTTAGCTGAGGCGCACGCACTGCGCTGGGAGAAGCCCCATAAATTCCCCACTCCTCGTCCCCAGGATCTACGATGAGGCGCAGGTCAAGACCATGCTTTTTGCGGCTGCTCCAAACGTCGGACGTGCGCGGTTGCGAAGCGTGCTCCGGTCTGAAGCGAGGTTTACGCCTCTCCAATATTGCGCATAGCCGTCCGCGTCCTAGAAGCAGCCGACCATGTCAGCGTGAGCAGGAGGGGAAAGCGACGACGCCGGCCTCGACGCGGGGAGTCAGCACACGGACAGCATCGGCGGCCCCAGAGGCGGACACGGTGGCGGGCAGCACCGACATGGCTGCGTTCGTTTGGAGCCCGCGATCTGGGGCCTGCGAGTAGAGGTCGTTAGCAGACCCAACGACGGCGAAAGTGGCTGCGGTGGGCGGGCTGCGGTAGATGGCTTTGGGGCCGTCTCAGCAGATCACCCTCGACCCTGTCGCCTGCAATTCCTCGGCGCTGCAGGAGAGAGAATGCGGAAGTGCGAGCACAGGGATTGCCCGGCTCCGTCCCAGCCCAGCTTCGAGGGCCGGCTGGTCAGTGGCTCGATGCTGGAGCGTGCCGGGCGCGGGAGGGGCATATGGGACAGCGAGCACGGAGCAGCATCTGGGGACAGCACGGCGACGGCGGCGAGTCCATGACCCCTCACAGCAGCAGGAGCCGGTTTGGCTGGAGGCTTCGTAGGCCCTCGGGGCAGAGCATGATCGATCGAGAGGGCCTTTCAGGCATTGGGTTTGGGCTAGGGCCGCCCGGCGAGCCCTGGAGCGCACCTCTCGCCGCGCTCCCAGCATTCTGGGCCTACCTTCACCCAGGCGCCTTAGTTAAACCAGTTCGCGCCCGCAGCGTGGCCGAGGGCAACGACCGGCGCCGTGCATCGTTCTGCTGCTGGGGGGCTTCTCCACAGTTGTGCCCTTATTCTCTCGCTCCCCCTCCCGCTACACCCAGCCCGCTCCACTGTCTCCTCTACTGCTATTTCTTCCTATACGTACTCTCCCTCACCACCCCGCCCCGTGCCTATGCGAGGCCAGCTGCACCCGTCCGCCGTCTGGTCCTCCAGACCTCCACCGCCCGAAGAAGCATAGGCAGCCTGCGGAGCAGCGTCGCTAAGGGTAGTTCCTCCGCCCAGCGCTGCCTCTGTCAAAGCGGCGATCTGAGCACTCCTCACGAACGGTTTAACACTACCCGCCGCATGGTGCTGTAGTCTCGCGCCGTTCTCTGGCTGTCGCCAACCCTCGAGCCTCCTGGATCTCTCTCCAACCGTCAAGATTGCTACCACACATTCCTCGTCTGCGTTCGCAGACTGGCCTGCTCGTGATAGAGCTGCCGCACCCGCTGCTGAGCAGGACTTCACCCCCCCTTCGTCAGAATCGGACATCTGGCCTACGCCGTCGGAGCACAGCCCTACCTCCCCGTTCTTTGCCCACGCCGTCGAGCGACGCTCCTTTCGCATGGCCAACGAGGTCGTCTTCGGACCCGCGCCGCCCAGCACCCACAGTCGTATGAGTATCAGCTCATCCTCGCAGGCGTCGCCGTCGTCCACCGAGTCGTCGAGGAACACGCCCACTTTCAGTATCACGCTGACGAGTCTGCGCGAAACGCCAGGCGACGATGTTGTGCCCAAGATTGAGGAACTCGACGACGGCGAGGTGGGAGACGTGAAGTTTGAGTCGTCTGCTGGGGACCCACTTCCCTCACCAAACCGAGGCATTGTGAAACGACCGCGAGGACGACCGCGCAAACACCCCATTACGCAAGCGACTTCAACCACGAAGCCTCCGAAAGGCCGTTCGAAGACAGGATGCATCACCTGTCGACGGCGGAAAAAGAAATGCGACGAGACCAAGCCTCACTGTACGAGACGATACCCCTACCAATCTGTATTATGTGATGCTAACGTGACCAGGTATCCATTGTCAGAAGAACAATGTCCACTGCGAAGGGTATCCGCCCAAAGATTATTGGAGGAGTGGAAAGCAACGCGCCATCATCGAAGGTACGGAGGACGACTCAGGAAACGACATTGCCACTATACTAAGGACTATAGTAGGTCGCCGGGTCAGCTTCGACCGCCCTCGCGAACTGCCTCTCTTGATCGAAGGTGTCGAAACGGATCTGGACCGATTCTTCCTTGATCATTTCAATTTCAATGTCAGCAGAGTGCTGAGTTTGTTTACTGACAAGCAAAACCCGTTCAAGGAGATTCTGCTGCCGATGGCTATCCGACACCGCGGCCTGATGCACTCGTTGCTCTGTCTCGCAGGATCCCACCTTGCGGCACGGGAGCCAAACTCGTCATTCCAAGAAAGGCAGTACCATCACTTCCAGTGTGCACTAGAGAACCTCCGGACCGAAAAGAATATGGCCCGATCAATATCCGGCGACACCACCGCCCTCATCGAAGACCCAACCGTCGCCCAGACCCTCGTCCTCTGCCTCCGCTCCATCTGCGCCGGCGAAGTCAACGGCGAATACCGCCCCCACATGGACGCCGCCAAGCACCTCATCCAGACGCAGAAGTCCCCCAACCAAGAATTCCAATCCTTCCTCTTCGAGTTCTTCATCTACCACGATGCCTTGAACTCCGTCACCTCGCTCGACCGCCGCTCCGTTCTCATGATGGAAGACTTCCAGCTCCCGCAGTTTATGATCCAGCCAGAGGCCGGCGCGCTCCTCGGCGTCGTCGACGGCCTCTTCGGCTACATCTCTAAGATCCGCCAGCTGCGTGATAAGATCCGTGCGCGGCGCGATCAGAGCCTCAAGCCGCTGGTGGACTACCAGATCCTGAGTGATGCGCAGGCTATCGATGCAGGGCTGAGGAGCTGGGTCTGCGTACAGCCGGAAGACACGCCGCGCTACACGGCCTCGATGCTCTACCGGCAATGCACGTGGCTCTACCTCCACCGCACCATTCTCCCCTCCGTACCGAGTCAAAACCTCAAAGACGCCGTGGATGAGGGGCTCTTCTATCTCCGGCAACTACCCTCCGACAGCTCTACCCAAAGTATCCTCCTAATGCCACTCTTCCTCCTTGGCTGTGCAGCGTTCGAAGCCGAGCAGCGCCCAGAAATCCTACAGGCGTTCGAGGGGCTGGAGAGTTACTCCCAGCTCGGCAACATCAAGTACACGCGCGCGGTTGTGGAGAAGGTGTGGGAGATGATGGATAAGGGGGACACGGACAGCTGGGACTGGGAGACGATTATCTCGAACCAGGGGTGGGATTTCCTTATCACATGAACACGATCGGCAATGAATGGGAAGGCTTATCAAAAGGCGGGAATGGGATGTGATACGAAAGGGAAAGGATATGGTATTGCGGGTGTTCTATGGACGGAAAGGCAGGGAAATGCACATGGTCTTGGCGCGACGCGGATGGGGGCGTTCAGCGTTCTGCAATATTCGAACCGTCCTGTTAATTGGTTTCGTGGGACGGGGGGCAGCTCGGTGCTAGGTTTTCTGGGTTCACATATCAAACGGGGTGGCGGAGCTCTGGATTGGCCTGTTTCTTGGAATCTCTCACTTTTCTTTGCATTGGGCTTGGTTTTGGATTGGTTCGGGTTCTGGGGGGGTTAGGAAACTTGGGAGGCGGTCTGTATCACTGCAACCTTTTTGGGCTGGCGGGGCGGCGGGGATCTGGTCAAAAATTCTCCTGCGTATCTCGCGATATTTTTGCGTTGTGCGATCCATGTTTTGCTGCGTTTTTGATATCCCTATCATGTTGTCCGTCTCATCTCTCGTCTTTTGCGATTCTAGGAACCATTTCACAAACATGGAAACGGCTGGGAGGTTCTTTTTCGCCGCATCGCAGTGCGCGCACATCTTCGCTTTTTTTTTTCTTCGATTGGATCGGCCGCGGATAGGACAGCACAGTACACTACTTACGGATACTCGCGTCTCGTTGGAGGCGATGCGCGCATACTATGCGCATGCATCCAATACGGGGCGCGCAGTATGCAAATATCAACCATACACGAAGATTTTATCCTCCAATGCCGTTGCGGCTTGCATCATTGTGCAGCACATCCTACTATGTAGGGTCCATTCGGGAGTGCAGTGCGGGTCCTGGGTGGTGGTGCTGCTGCTGGGCCTCAAGAATGCACAGGCTTGCCTCTGAGAGAGCCTGGCTAATCATGCGATAGCCCACATTCCCTCACCCATCCGGCGCCAGGCTCGTGGCTGTTCCGGCGGGATGCGGGGTGGTGAGAGGGAGTCGGGCCAGGATCTCCCCATAACACATACCACTTGTTTACTGTAGCGGCCTGAACGCGTGAGACAGACGACCGCTCACTCCCGAGCTAGCGGCCGCCGAACGCAAACCAAGCCTCGGCCTGGGCGCCCTTCAACGGCCGCTGGCTGGGTTGGGCGTCCGCGCTGCACACACATGCGGGCAAATAGCCGTCCCTTCAGCCGGGGCGGGAAGCAAGGATTCCGGGGTGTGGTTTCGCGTGGACCCTGCCTGCCATGCCCGCTGGCTTTCCCCAGCAGAGTCTGTGGAGAAACGCGGAGCTTCGCTGCTCTTTTCAGGAACCCGGACGGGGGCAGCGGAGGAGGTTGGTGATCGTTGCGCATCGTCCCAGAAGTATGGGGCGAGGCGAGCGGAAAGGGAAAGAGACGTGGGGGCGGCGGGGGTCGCAATATCACCATTTTTTTCTGATGCAAAGGGAACTTCGGGATTCCAAGGGATTTCCAACGATCGACGCTTGCAGTCTACAGACTAGGGGGAGTTTGGCTATACCATAGCTCACCGCTGCTGAGAATGGCCTGAGATGACGTCGGGGGACGACGAGTTTGGCCTGATTGAGCATCGTGGTTGGGAAAAGGCGTGAGACGTACAGCCATGTGATGCTAAAAGGTGAGTGAGAGTTCCCGGCGGGTCCCGGACGAGCACAGCCCTATGTGCTTTCTGACGATATGGTTCTGACTGGTGTCGTAGGGCCCTTTCCTCGATTCGCACGGAGGTGTGTTGTCCTGCATCCTCCAGGCACGGCGTGAGCGCGCATCTGACAAGCAAGGTGATGGCACTGCATTGCTGCGTTCCGGGTTCGCTGTCAGCGGCATCGGATCAACAGGTCGAGCAACGGTGGGATTGGGTTCTGTTGCGAGCCCACGTGGAGCTGTGGTCCTTACCGCAGTCAGCTTCAACCACATGGCACCGCCGTAATTAGCCGGACTGGCGTCTCGACAGCCCTACAGGGTCTCGATTACGAACTCTCAGCACCAGAGGCGGCATGTTTCCTCTTTCAACACGCTCTGACTGCCGCATCGAGGGGGCAAATATAATCATCCTCATCATGCGGTCGGTTAAGGGCGCTGTTGTAAGCACGCATTGCTGACATCGTCAGGGTTGCCAGACCGCATTCGCAGGTCTTGTGTGGCCAGGCGACTGGAAGTGTGAGGAGGTCTCTTCTGGAATGGACGGAGCCGCCCCTGCTGCGGGAATAGAGGATCAGGCACAGCAAAGATTCGTCAGGCGTGTGGACCTTGGAGCGGACTGCATATGTGCGGCGCAGCAGTCCCATCGCCGTTGAAACTGAATCATGGAGGGAGGCTCCTACGAGCTCGGACGTGGGGGAACCCTGATGCCAGGCGTGGGCACGGTCAAGATGAAACATGTATATCAGGTTAGCTGCTTCAATATAAAAGAGAGCTTTCGGCAACGCAGCCACTTAGTACTATGTATCTCCATGGATGCAGCATGGTTGCGGACCACTGAAAAATCTCCCGTGGTGACGGTTGCAGTCCCAGTGCAGAAAGGAGAGATCAGAGAAATGCTCCGTGGCGATCGTCCAGGATGGCTCGGGGTCTTTTCCAGAGGCGACGCAGGACAGGGCACGATGGAATTGCAGGTGCGAAGCTCTCGAGTGCCGGCGTGTCGGCTGGGTAAGCTCATCCTACTAAGCCTACTTCAGGCTTCGATGATGCTTATATTAGAGAGTGTATAGGGGGTCAGTCGACGGGAGCACTCCGGGAGGTTGATGAGCCCTCCATCTTAGTTTGACGAGCCCCGATGATGTGGCCATGGGCCGGAACTGACAAGCGGTAATATAATGGAGCTTATGAAGGCAGTCTCGAGTTAGACCGGGCTGTTACTGTGTACAAAGGTAGCATGAACGACATGGTACTAACTCTAGCTCCGGCGGACACTCCCGCCTGACAACAAACGGTGCCGAGCAGGGTCGCTTGCCGCCATCCCTGATCGCACCGTGAAGGCTGCGGACCGTTGCAGCTCTCGCAGCCAGTGTGACGCTGAGGAGGTCTCCCCGCCCTCCGCTGTTGGAGTCGCGGGGAGAAGAGGGCCAAGGAGGCCCACCAACGGCTGCCGCTAGGCGGTGTGAGGCATCTGGGATTCTGGAACGTCGCCAATTGCCGCCGCCCATGGAGGCTTGGCTCTGTCGATTCCCGACCACCTTCCGCTCGCGTGCGAAGGCTCCATGGTCGGTTGCGAGCCGAGAGCGGAGTCCTGGAGATGCAAGGCCACAGTGCGACTTCGACAGCGAGGCGAGCCGCAGAAGAAGCAACCCACTAACATCGCTAACACATCGCTAACACATCGCTAACGGCCTCGCCGTGATGCCCTAATATCGTCGCCACGACGGCGAGTCGACGACGGAGAGACATCTCCCACAAACACCATGGCTCGCCCTGCCTGCCGCTGCCGCGACATCCTCCTGCACTCACCCTGATCCGATGACGACGAGGCCATGGACCGCGAGAAGATAACCACAGAGCCAGCCGTGAGGGGCGACGGAGTGCGCCCCACTCTCCACGACACCCAGACGACAGCGTCGTTGCACCCACCCGTTGGGCACTCGCACAGCACCGCGTCCGCCGACGACAACCAGATCTCTCTCCGGGCTGTTGCCCCAGTCGATGTGCGCATCAGAAATTTATCTGTCACCCTCGACGACTCCAACGCCGGGCCCGCTGCGCTGGTCGCAGGTCTCGTGAGAAAGCGACAGAGCGGAGACTCGTCCGGCAAGGCCCCCTGCCATGTGAAGGCCATATTAGACCACGTCTCGGCGGACATGCCGAGCGGGTCCCTGACTGCCATCATCGGGGGGAGCGGGAGCGGGAAGACATCGATGTTGAACGTCATGTCCCGGCGCATGCATGGATCTCGACTGTCTGTCACAGGCACCACGTCCTTCAACGGGCACCACGACTTCACGAGCGTGCGGAGTGCCTATGTCATGCAGCAGGATGTGCTGATTCCCTCCCTAACCGTGCGGGAGACGCTGCAGTACTCCGCCGATCTGCGCCTCCCCTCGTCTGTGAGCAGGGAGGAGAGGCGGCAGGTGGTTGAGGAGGTTATCCTGGAGCTGGGGCTGAAAGAGGCTGCCGATACGAGGATTGGAAACCATGCCCACAAAGGCTGCAGCGGAGGGGAGAAGCGGAGGACAAGCATTGGCGTTCAGGTGCGTGGGACGAGCACATGCTTCTCTGTGTGAAGCTGATGAGACCATGTAGTTACTTGCGAATCCATCAGTGCTGTTTTTGGACGAGCCTACCACGGGGTTAGATGCTACGAGTGCTTTTCAGTTGGTGAGAACGCTGAAGAATCTTGCTGGGAAAGGACGTACCATCATATTGACAAGTAATTGCCCATCTGTAAACCTTGAAACGATCCACTAACGCTATCAGTCCATCAACCTCGCTCAGAGATATGGAGTTTGTTTGACAATCTTGTGCTGCTTACGAAAGGAACCCCAGCATTCTCAGGCCCTGCAGATCAATGTCTGCCTTATTTTGCTGCCCTGGGATATGAGCTCCCGCCTTTCGTGAACCCAGCGGAGCATCTGATAGATATCGTGGCCATCGATTCTCGGACTCCAGAACTAGAGACGGCTTCTTCCGAGCGAGTAGAGCACATCAAAGCAGCATGGAAGGAACGCACGATCCGCAATCCATTCTCAGACTCGACCGAAGAGGCTTCGGCGACCGACCCAATCAGCAGCTCCAAGAAATCTGAGGCCTATCATTCCGCAGTCCTACGTCAGACACGAGTACTAACAGCTCGAACATGGATCGTCACAATTCGAGATCCAATGGGCATGTTTGGCAGTCTGGTCGAGGCCATTTCCATGGCAGTCATCTCAGGTGTCATCTTCTACCAGCTCGACGGCAGCTTATCCGGCATAAGATCTCGCCAGGGCGCTTTATATAACGCTTCATCTCTTCAAGGATATCTAATACTGCTATTTGAAACATACCGACTCACAGTAGATATTGAAGTCTTTGATCGAGAGAGAGGTGAAGGTGTAGTAGGTGTGCCAGCTTTCTTACTTAGCAGGAGGCTTGCCCGTCTTTTCACGGAAGATATTCCTGTTCCTCTTATTTTTTCAATCATTTTCTACTTCATGACTGGCTTCCGTACGGACGGCTCCCAATTCATGACCTTCTTTGCCGTCATGTTGCTTGAGCAGTACATTGCTGTCTGTTTTGCCACCGTATGCATTGCTATCTCGCGGCACTTTGCCGGAGCGTCCTTGGTCGCCAATCTTGCGTATACCCTCCAGTCGATGGCTTGCGGTTACTTCATTCAGTCCAATACGATACCCGTTTACGTGCGATGGACAAAGTGGATTGCTTATGTTGTAAGTAAAGCTTCTTTTTTCTGCAGGTTCATGCTTATGAGATATAGTTCTACGCGTTTGGAGCCCTCGTAGCCAATGAGTTCGTCGGCTACTTCTACGACTGTCCCGAGGCCGGCGGCCCTTCAAATCCTGCTTGTAAGCAGTACACAGGAAACTACATAATGAACTCTCTAGGAATGCCATCTAATTGGATATGGCGTCCAATAATCGCGTTGCTTGGATTCGCAGTATTCTTCTATCTTCTAGCTGCCGTCCTTCTCCGTCTCTTAAAAACCGAGATGAAGATCTCACGCGCACGACCAACCGATTCAGACGAGTCTGCTGGGAAAGAAAATATGACTGCAAAATCTAACGATGAGGTCAGAACTGTCACTGTTCGACTTGATGGGTACGCGCTGGATATCGAGAAAAGGTCCTGGTATGGAAAGAAAATCAAAGATATGGCAATCCTGAAACCAGTCACGGCGGAGTTCCAGCCTGGCGTTCTTAATGTTATCATGGGTCCGTCTGGAAGCGGCAAGACTTCGTTGCTCAATTCAATGGCGAAGAGGCTGAAGGACGATTTTACAACCAAGTATCAGTTTTTTGGACATCTCGTCTTCAATGGAGCCATACCTTCAGAACAAGTGGTGCAGTCGATCTGCTCGTTCGTTACGCAAGACGATGACGCTCTGTTATCATCCTTGACTGTTCGAGAGACTCTGAGGTTGGACAAACAAAATGGATAACTAAAACTATACTAACACTTCTGAACAGGTTCGCCGCAAGACTTCGACTGCCAAAATGGATGTCGAAAGAGGAGAAGCATGGAAGGGCGGAGTCCGTTCTCCTGAAGATGGGCCTCAAAGACTGTGCCGATAATCTAATCGGAAGTGAGCTCATCAAGGGAATCAGTGGTGGTGAGAAGAGAAGGGTAGGGTCAATTTCTTCTCTTAAATCTCTCTCCTTGATCGCTGACATCCTCTAGGTGACCATTGCCGTCCAAATCCTCACCGACCCCCGAGTCCTTCTCCTAGACGAGCCTACTTCCGGCCTCGACGCCTTCACGGCCTCATCTATCATCGACGTCCTCCGCGGTCTCGCAGACGAAGGCCGCACCGTAATTCTCACCATCCACCAATCACGTTCCGATCTTTTCTCCCACTTCGGCAACGTCCTACTCCTGGCGCGCGGCGGCTCTCCCGTCTACGCAGGCCCTGGCCCCTCGATGCTCGCCCACTTCGCCGCCCAAGGCTTCTCCTGCCCTCGCACCACCAACCCCGCCGACTTCGCCCTCGATCTCATTACGGTTGACCTGCAGCACTCCTCCCGCGAAGCCGCCTCCCGCGCCAAGGTCCGCAATCTCATCGAGTCGTGGAGCTCTGAGAAATTTCCCCGCGCCCCTACCACCTCCATCTCCACCCCTGCCGAGCTGGGGAGTTTAGCACGTAGCATGGCCGCCCTCGGCGTCTCCGTGCCCCTTCTGCTCCACCGCGCCACCCTCAACTTTTCCCGCCAGCCCGACCTCATCCTCGCGCGCATCATGCAGGTTGTCGGCCTCGGCCTTGTAGTGGCCCTCTTCTTCGCGCCACTCAAAAACGACTTCTTCGCCGTGCAAAACCGACTCGGCTTCGTCCAGGAAATCGCACCCATATACTTCGTTGGCATGCTGCAGAACGTCGCTGTCTACCCGCGGGAGAAGGACGTCTTTTACCGCGAGTTCGAGGACCGCGCGTACAGCGTCGAGGCGTTCTTCCTGCAGTACACGATCGTCGAGGTGCCGTTCGAAATCGTGTCAAGCCTTATCTTCGCAGTATTAGCGGATCTCGCGTGTGGACTGCCGCGAACGGCGGAGGTGTTTTTCGTCGTTGCGTATAACTGCTTTTGTATTGTGAGTTGTGGGGAAAGTTTAGGGATCTTGTTTAACACGCTTTTTGCGCACACGGGCTTCGCCGTCAACGTCACCTCCGTCTTCCTCTCTGTCGCGCAGATCATGAGCGGGATTATGTCGCTTGATATCCCGGAGTTCCTGCAGGCGTTCAACTATCTCTCGCCTGTAAAGTATTTGGTGGGAAATTTGGTGGGCTACGCATTCAGGGGCCAGACGTTTACGTGTGAAGAGTGGCAGCGACTACCGGGAGGGGAGTGTCCGTTTACTACGGGCGAACAGGTGCTGAGGGCGTATAAGTTGGAGAGGGATACGGGAATTCAGTTGATGGCGTTGGGGGTGTGTACGATTGTTTATAGGATTCTCGCATATGTGGTGTTGAAGATGGTGAAGGAGAGGTGGATTGGGAGGGGGTGGGAGTGGGTGAGGGGAAAGAAGGGGGTTGAGGCGACGGAAGAGGGGGCGGATGAGTAGAATGCGTTGTGTCGGTAATCTATTTTTGCATATGCATAGCGTTTGGTTGGGTAAAACTGAGCTGTAGGTTCGATGAGTTATGACTCTTAGATCTTTTTCTTTTCGGCGTAGGTGAGGCATATCGAATCGTTTTTTCCCGTCACATCATCTGAGAAAACGTCATAATCTCCTGCGTTTATTGAACAGTTCGTCACTCCTTATACCTCTTTCTTGCTCGCCACCTCCGATTTCTGCACGTGTGGCAGTCTACCGTTTCCCAGTGACCGGAAAATCCTCCTGCCACCTCTAGCAGGTGTATACGGACTAGGCGTAAGAGCTATTGTTCAAATTAATTCCGATGCGCTGAAGCGCTTCAAGCAGTGCTAGACACTCGTACAAAAATTGATGATAAGGTAATGAAGCGTGCACGCCAAGTGCAGTACGAGGGCACAAATTTAGGCACGCCGTCGTTTCCATCTCTTCCAGATTTATGAAGATATGCTGAAGCACCACAAACAGCGGCCAAGTAGGTCAACCGCAAGCACTTGAAACTTCTCCAATTCAAACTCTCAAGGACTTTACACCTCGTTGAGTTTTCTATAACGCGCCGAAGTATCTCAAGCGGTGGCAAGCGAGCGTGCCTAGACTGGAACTATGTAGGCATAGGTTTTCTTGATACCTTTCAAATATCAAGCGTGACGGTGGCGGTATGTAAGGATGAAGGTACATCTAAGAACCCTAACTGTGTACACCTTCATGCCACCGCTTGTGGTGCTTCAACATACTTTCGGAACTCGGAATGAGGTCGAATTGGAGACTCTTGATTAGTCGGTAAGCTGGCTGGGCCACCTCACGCGGTCGTGCCCGAGAGTGAGTTCATCAATGTCAGAGCTTAAGTGGGACGGTCTCTACACGTTCCAATTCGCGGCCTCTGGAACTTGACATTCATGATTTCATTGGGTTCAAACCTTCGGGGGTGTCTCATGCTATTTCCCGTGTAGTTAAAAGCAATGTCCGAGAGCTCAGATTCAGATCTGTGAGTAAGTAGTAGTAGCTAAGGCTCCAATTCCCAACCTCTGGAATTTGACATTCACGATTTCATCAGGTTCAAACGCCTAGGAGTGTCTTACGCTATTTCCTGTATTGTCAAAAGCAATACGCGAGCACTCAGACTCAGGTCCGCGTGTAAGTAGTAGCTAAGGTACCAATTTGCAGTAGTGTACGTCTTCTTGCCGCCGTAGGGGGTGCTTCAACAAACTATCGGAAATCTGAAAAGCGTTTGAAGTAGAGCTCTTGAACGATCGGTAAACTTGCTATGGTACCTCAGGCAGCGGCAAAAGAGTGTACACAGGTTTGATTTATTTCCAATCTGCGTTACTGGGCTGGGGTCAGTCAGACGCCGTCGTTGACTCGGCAAAACCGGATCGCAACTGCTGCAATATGAGGTCTGGCACGGGCAGCACGAAGAAGGAGCCTTCAAATCAGAGGCTATTTACTTCTCTGTTGCCGCCCTCATCGCACTGTCTGAAGGACCTCAACCTCTCAACATAATTGGCAAAACGTCTATCCACCGCATCGGATACACTACATACCTTCCTCCATTACGGTGAACAAAGACCCAAACAGGCCCCGCCTCTATACGCCCAGAATGGCGGAACTTGCAGCCCAAAGCCGAGACGATGACGAAGACCAAGGCCACAGCGAGGCATCTAAAGAATCTTTTGAGAGCTCCGATGAGGAAAGCTCATCGACGTCGACTACAGATTCGGCCCATGAGGACATTCAGACTGCGCATGCTGTTACAGCACCGAACCACCCCACGCCCATTCAACCTGTGCAGCCTCGAATATTGCAAACACGGCGTTGGATATCGGCCCCAACCCCGGCGCTTGCTGTTTTGATGTGGTGGACTTGCTTCAGTGTTCTGACAACCCTCATAATGCCGGCTTCCGCCCTCGGATGCTGCAGCATTGTCTACATAACAGTCACCGAGATCCCTGCGGCTTGTATCACTACGTCCCTAGTTTCCAATACTTCGCCTCAGGCAGGTTCTAGCAGTTCCCTATCAACTATGACTGCCATCTCTACTAGAACTTCAATCCCCACCAGGGCTTCGCCCTCCACCAGGACCTCATTTACTTCGGAATTGTCGAGATCCTTCGACTCCAGCAGTCACATCACCACTACGTCCCTAGCCTCCAATACT